CCCCTGGATCCGAAGGGACTCCTTTGTCTTCACCGTCTGAGTCTCCAACACGCTCAATTGTGGAGTTCACTCAGTGATTGGAACTATTACTGGGTTTCTGTTTTGTTTTTTAAATCATGGGTCTCGGGCTTCGAAGGCCAAGAACTCTGTTTTGGTGGTGTTCTGGGCTGTGCTCTGTGGGCTGCGAGACAGTCTGTTCTTTTACATGGCTGTGGTTGCTCAAATGTTCTCCCACGGACTTTCTACCTGTGTGAAGTTTCAGCGTGCAGTATCTGACGGCTCATTCATTTGTACTCATCTTTCAGAGTACAGCAGTCGGGTCTCAAGTGTCCCTAAGCGGGAGGCTGTAGATGGGTCCTCCTTGGCTCCATGCTTTAGTGATGTTCACATAGTAAAAGGGTTGTTTTGCTCCTCTGTCATGACATCGACCAAGCTTTCTCTCCCCTGGCTTCTGCTGCCCTGAAGCTTCAATAATTTGAAGATAGTCACTTCTAGGATTGGCAAGGACAATGCGTTTTCACCCGCTGTTTTTGGTTTCAATTGTTAACCCTCGGAAATGGTGTGCAATGGGAATTTAAACGGACAGGCTTCTTCTTATTGAACATGCCCTCATTCTATAGCAATAAGTGGCTCTTCTGTCCACATACAGTCAAGTCTTGCATAGGACAAGAAATCTATCTATTCGTGTGTGTGTGTGTGTGTGTAGCACACCTCCTTATCTACAAGATCTTTGAAAGACCTTTGTTAATGGCTTGAGCCTACTTATTATTTCTTTCAGTCTCAGTCATTTGTCTCGCAGCCCCAGTGGCATAGGGGGTTCTATGTTGGGCTGCTAACCACAAGGTCAGCAGTTCCAACCCACCAGCCGCTCCATGAGGACGATGAGGTTTCCAGTTCCAGCAAAGAGTTACCGCCTTGAAAACCCACAGGGGCCATCCTAGCTTGTCCTCTGAGCTCGCGGAATGGACTCTGTGGCAGTGAGATTTTGAGTTTGAACTTCTGTTACCTGTCCCCCGCCCCCCAGTCCCAGTTCCTGTAAACCCATGAGTTAGCCTTTGACTGGAATTGTGGAAAGCCTCTCATAGGATGAATGGCTCCCTTCCCACGTGGGGTATTCCCATCTGGGAGGAGACCAGTGGAAATTCTGGAATTCTCCAGTTAGACACAGAGATGCACCCAGACACTCACGACCCTGCCCCGGGACAACAGTCCCCAGCCTTCAGATAATTAAGGGGACGAATCTCTCCCCCAGTTCCAAATAAGCTCCCCAAGCCTCTTCTTTCCTGAGCATGTGTGCAGCCAACCACAGCCTCCGCTTGGGTTCCACAGACCCGGGACAGACGCAGCGTGGTTTCATTTGCTCAGGCCACCAATGGGCGTGGCAGAGGCACAGGGTGGCTGAGTCCAGCCCTGCCCACCCAGCCCATCTACCTGCTGAGGGAGTCTGCTCAATCACGGTGAACAGAGAAAGCTCTCCCGGGTACTTCCCGGGGCCTTGAGGAAAAGAAATGAGGAAATCCCCAGCCCAGAGAACAGGGAACTAGCCTCTAGGGGGGGGTATTTGGGTGGGGGGGGGGGGGGGGGTTGATGCCAATAAATGGAGCGGGCAGGGTGAGCCCCAGGCCTGAGACATCCTCGTCCTGTGGGCTACATCACATCCAGCGATTCCCCAACATGGACATATAGGCCAGAGACTTTGAGGGAATTCATCAAGGTCAGACTGCCTCTGAGTTACTGTGGGGTGTGTAGGGGGGCAAGGGGGTTGGGGAGGCGCAC